ATATGGCACATAGTTCGATCAAAGGTTGGCAGATGGGAAAACGGAGGCCGAGGTCGAACTGCATTTTGAAAAAAGTATAACATCCTTCAGGAGGATTGTCGTACGTATCATCATCATTAGGTTGGTAAACTGCGGGTGGTCGACCGATCTCGTTATAGTCGAGCCAATTGATGTTATTCGACCGCGAGCGAGACTTGGATTTTCTGGAGGAAGAAGGAGTGGTCGAAGATGGAGGAACACGGATGGACAAAGGAACAAAATCCTTGGGATCACGGGCAGATAGAGCGATAGTTTCTTGAGGGTCATTCTCATCCTCGTCCTTGTCATCCTGGCTAATCGGTCGACGAGAACCCGTGGAGGTGGGAGGAGGGGGAGGCTGGCTGGTAACGTCTCCTTCTGGATTGTCAGCCAGATAGGAGGAAGGGGAAACAACATCACCAGAGGAGCCACTACTGATCACGGTTGGTCGAATTACATTGAGAGGCCGGGGCTGGACAAAATTCTTGCAAGGAGTCGCTCGAAAGGCTAGGGGTTGCAGAAGAAGAGGAAGGGGGGTCATGACCTTTTCCACTGTACCGGTCGTTTTCGCTCGATGTGGCAGAAGCTGAAGAAGAAGAAGAAAGAAAAATTAAGGAGAGGTAAAAATCAAAAATTCGTGCATATGAAGAGAGAGAAAGAAGAAGAATTGGGGATGCTACAATGGGAAGATAAAACATGAAGCGCATGAGTCGAGAAGAAACAAGAAGGAGGAGAAGATGAAATTCAAAAAATTCAATAAACATACATTAAATTCAGGGATTAAGAAGACTTACTCATGATGAACGATGGAGAACTTGTAGAGGAAATGAAGAATCTGAGGTTGCAGGACGCCTGATAATTGCAGAAAAGCTCCGTATTGCGGTAGAGTGCGAAAGTGAGGAAAGGTGAAATTTTTATAAGTATTGGTATTTATAAGGGGGAAGAACGAACGAGAGGAATCGCCAACCGTTGGATCATAAAATTTAAAGGGTGCGATTGAAAGATAAGCGAACAGATGCATAATATCGACCGCAAGATAAAAATAAGTAATCTAACGGCTCGAATGGATAAGGGTTTTAAAGCGGCACGACGTTCTAAGGAGCGCAGTTCACGGGGCAATCATGAGGAATGACATACGAAGGGACACGCTTGATAAGGACGACAAGTGGCG